TTTTTCTTCCAACAAGATATTCATATAAGTTATTTTTTTATATGTTTTATAATTAGTCAATCAAATTTTTTTATATATTTTTATATATGGTGTTTATTTACTATTTGACATTTGTTATATTGATGAAATGATTTAATCATGTATTCATGTTATTGATAGCATTTATATTTTTTTATCATGTTTGAATTTTTTATGTTTTATATATATTTTTAATTTTTTTAGTTATTACTCATTTAGCTAATAACTTTAAGTTTGGTAAAAATTAATTTTTATATGAAGCTTATAAAATTAGTTAGAAGTTTTATCCAATTTATTGCATAGTAGTATGGTTACAACATGTGAATGCATTTCTACTCATATATTTCAAATATAGGGTCAGTTGATCTTTATTAACATGCATAATCATATTTTGAATATGTATTCTTATTTTTTATAAATTACATAAACTAAACTATTTAATTTAATTAGTTATGGAGAAATATCTTATTAAGAGAAAATTAATTTTTGAAAAATCATCTGGAATCAATACTAGTGGCATATAACATTGTACAAAGCAAGTTTGTGTTGAATTAAATTTAGATTATATTCTTTTGGATCTTGGGTTACCAAAAAAATTTTGGACTATAATGATAATGATAGAGACAAGGTTCGAAGAGCTTATTTGCAAAGAGGTCCATGTCAACCTTATAAACATAATTTTCCCCAAAGACAAATTGGAAAGGCATTACATCGTTTTATTCCTACGTGGTTTGAAGATTATGCTAATTGGTTGGAATATAGTATAGAGAAGGATGTTACTTTTCGTTTGTGTTGTTATCTTTATATAATAGATATTGGAAAGCAAGCAGGTGGTGATTGTTTTCTTTTTTTTTTAAATGGATTCACAAATTGGAAAAAGAAAGAAAGATTTGATATTCATGTTGAAAGTCCTAATAGTGTTCATAACTAAACTTGGAAGTGTTTTCAAGATTTGCTAAATCAAAAGCAACATTTTCAATTTGTTTTTGCAAAACAATTCGATCAAGCATGAAAAGATTATCGAATTCGCTTAACTATGACACTTGATTGTATTCGTTTTCTTTTATATCAAGGTTTGGCATTTCGTGGTAGAGATGAACTAAGAATTCTCATAATCAAGAAAATTTTCTTGAACTTATTAGATTTCTTACCAATCATAATGAAATCATCAATTGTGTTATCTTGGAGAATATGCCGATAAATTAAAAAATAATAGTATATAATATTAAAAAAGATCTTGTTCGTGCTGCAGCAATTGAGATTATCAATACTATTATGGAAGATTTTAGAGATAGATTACTTTCTATTTTACTTGATGAATCTCGTGATGTTTCAATCAAAAAACAAGTTATTATTGCTTTGTACTATGTGAATTCTAAAGGGCATGTTATTGAACATTTTTTTGGTACAATACATGTCAGTGATACAACTGCTTTGTCACTTACAATAACTATTAAAGCATTATTCTCTAAGCATAATTTGAGTATGTTAATGATTCGTGGGCAAGGTTATGATGGAGCAAGCAATACGCAAGGTGAATTCAATAGATTGAAAACTTTGATAATGAAAGATAATGCATCTTCTTATTATGTTTATTGTTTTGCTCATCAACTTCAATTGATACTTGTAGCCATGGTAAAGAATCATATTCAAATTGTATTACTTTTCAATATTATGACAAATGTTTTGAATATTGTCAAGGCTTTATTGTAAATGAAGAAATGTTTTCCAAGAAAAATAACTTGGTAAAGTTATTGAGGTATTACGAGTCAGTGAACTTTCTATGAAAAAGGGGTTTAAATAAAAAAATAAGTATTTAATAAGCTAGGGATGCACAATGGGGTTCACATTATAAGACTTTGATAAATTTGATTCTTATGTTTAGTTTCATCATTGATGTGCTTAAATTGTTATGGAGGATGGGAATAGCTCGAAGTAAAGACGTGAAGCTTTTGCTTTATTAGATTTGACTCAATTTTTTGACTTTGCTTTCAACTTGCATTTGATGAAAAATATATTAGAGATTACAAATGAATTATCTTTGGCATTACAAAGGCGAGGTTAAGATATTGTGAATGCGATGGCATTAGTAAAAGTAGCGAAGTATCAAAGTAACGACTACAAACGATGATAGATGATGGAGGGGAATCTTTGCATAAAGAGGTTTCTTTATTTTGTGAGGAAAACAATATTGGCATCCAAAATATGGATGATATGTTTGTAACTCGTGAAAAACCTCGACACAATGCTCTAACAATGACAATTTTACATTATTGTCGGGTTGAGTTGTTTTATATAGTAATTGATATGCAACTTTAAGAGCTCAACAATTATTTTAATGAGGTAAATATGGAGTTATTTCTTTGTGTGGCTTCTTTAAATCCTTGTGATTTTTTTTACAACTTTTGATCAGGGAAAGTTGATTTATTTTGTTTAATTTTATCCGGTTGAATTTTCTAATGTTGAACTACTAGTTCTTGACAATCAACTTGAAATATACATTGTTGATTTTAAATCTTATGATGAGTTTATAAGTTTGAAAAGTATTAGTGACTTTTCTATGAAACTTATTGAGACAAAAAAATATTTTGTGTATCAATTGGTATACTTACTTGTGTAATTAGTTTTGATAATATCAATTTCTATTGCATCCATTGAAAGAACTTTTTTGCTATAAAGATTGTGAAGAACCATTTACGTAACCAAATGGGAGATTTTTAGATGAATGATTGTTTCGTTACATATATAAAGAAATACATATTTTGTAACATTGATAATGAAAAAATTTAAAAAAAATATGAAAATCGTAAAGAACATTAATATATTAATTTTTATGAACTAAAAATTTTTTTATGCATCTTATTTAACTTAATATATTAGTATTTTGTATTTATGCTAATTTATAAATCTTGGATCACATACTATTGTCTAAATTCAAAATCTCATACATTTTGCTATAGGTTTAATGTGAAAAGAAACACAATGTTTATTTTTAAACAAAAATTTCATACCATTACTTGGATATGAATGAATCGATTATAAAATATTTAATACTAATTTAGCATTATTTTAGAGTTCGAACATGTTAAAGGATGTATTCACAATTAATGGTAGATTAAAATTTTTTTTGGAAATATTTATTTATAAAATATAAAAAAATTAAAAATAAAATTTTGAGATAATATATTGTTATATTATTATAATTATTAATGAATTATTATATCTTGAAAAAAGTATAATTATATCATTAATAATGTATTATTCCCAACATATGTAATTAAATAATCATCCAATTAAGAATTATAATGTTATTAAAATTTATTTTGACAAGTTTAGTAATTTTATCAATAAAATGTCCAAAAAAATTTTAAAAAATATTCAATTTTTTTAATATTTATATTTAAAAATATCGAAATGTGTAAATAAACAAAGTTTTTGATGAATTGTTCATAAATATGTTCAGGTTTTATTTGTTTATATTTATTTATCAAATTTAATATATGATCTTAAATAGTAATTTTATATTCATTTATTAAATGAACTGAATATGAACTAAGATTTGTTTAGTTTGTTTATATTCTTGAACAAGCTCGTTAACAAGTTCATTTAAAATTTATTTAAAATTCATTCGTTTATTATTTGTTTACTGTTCGTTTATAATAATAATAATAATAATAAAATTATATTTTTATTATTTATCTTAATCTTATTTTAAGATTCATTTATTTTTTGTTAAATTTCATTTATATTCGTTTATGATTTGTTTATTTAAATTTGTTTGATTTTAATTTGTTTATTATTCATGAATATATTCGTTTATTTATATTTATGAATATATTCATTTAATATTTATGAACAAATTCATTTAATTTAATCGAACTGAATATGAACTAAATATAAACATTCTATCATTTAAATAAATTAAATTTAAATAAATAAAATAATTTTTTTATTAAATACGAATTGAATTCAAATACTTCTAAAAATAAATAAATAAACTATAAACATACGACTATTCGTTTATAATCAATTGATCTACGGTTCTAAAAGTATCCATTAACATCTTGACTTATCTCCTCCCAATGTTTTACTTTCTCGCTTCTTTTGTAGTTTTTTGTTTTTTTAAATTGGCAATCGGTAGAGGTGGTGGTAAGAATGAAGAATGAGCACGTGTTAGCCAATGCAATGGGCGATGGGCGATGCTGACAAGAGAAAGAAAAAAAAAAGTGGAATAGTTGATGCTTTCGTGGAGTTGGGCCGCCACCATGTACAACAGGCCACAGCTTCCGGAAAAAGAACGGAACTGAGGTGCAAAACCACTTGGACTAATTACGCGACCGACCCCTGACTTCGTCAATTTCGCAAATAGTCCTTTTGACTTTAGCAATATACTAGTACTCTATATCAAGCATTTTATGAATCCATATTGCATTCTTTTTACATATAAAGATAATTTTTTATTTTATAAATTTTACTTTTAATTTTTTATTTTAAAATAAATGAAGCATAAAAATAATATACTTAACTAAATTAAAAAAATAAATTAATAATATTTTTGAAATATTTATTTATTTTGTAGGTAACATTTTTATTTGATAAGAAATTATATAATTATAAAAATTATTTTATTTTTATTTTTTAATTATAATTTTTGAAAGATTGAAATTTGAAATTAATTATTTGATAGGATATATCATTAAATAAAATGTATTAATTTCATATATTATATTGCATTTTATTTTGTTTAAATAAAATCTTTAAAAATTTAATTAATTAATTATAGCAATTAAAATTGTAAAAAATATAAATATTTTAAAATTAAATAGCATTTAAATAAAACAAGATTTGCCCCACAGGCAAAAATTTTTAATTAATCATAAATTTAAAAGTAATTTCATTAATTCAATGTTAATTAAGTTATGTAGTTGAAATGCTCCAACTGTTAAACTCCAAAACAAAAATTTCCCCAATTATATACTTATCATTAACATATTTCAAAAAAAAAAAAAAGGGTAACCATTAAACAGTGTTACATAGATCTAAAAGAAAGACTCGCATCAGCCATTCACTTCTTCTTTTTCCATTCTCAGTCCAATTCGTTCAAAACCTCTCTCATCTCTAAACCCTTCCTTTCTCTGCGGTTTTTTTTTCTTCAGATCAGATTAGATCCCTTCTCTTCTCTAAACCCATTTTTTAATGATCCTTTTAACATTCTCCTAGAGCTTAGATCTCGTCTTCTATATCAACTTTTGGGTAAATGGGAAAAGTTTCAGCCGTTGTATACATAACCGTGGCTCTTCTAATCCTATTTCTTATCTCTTATTCCCCTAAGAAACACTCCACTCACAACCGCCAACGCCGCCTCAAGCTCCGCTCTTCCTTCAGCTTCAGCAACCCCGCCCGCCACGAGCCTGTTGCTTTTGACCCACTAGTCGCGGACATTGAGCGCCGCCGTGAAGACCGCCAATGGGAGAAGCAGTACTCCGAGAATTCCCATCCTGCGTTTACACATGACGCCGCTCCGGCTGAAGAGTCCCAGCCCGAATGGGAGGATTTCATGAACGCTGAGGATTACTTGAATGATGAGGACAAGTTCAATGTTACCAATAGGTTGGTGGTATTAAATTCAAGTTCAATTACATTTACTTTTAAATTCATTTTAGTTCTTTTTTTGGTTGTTTAAGGGTTAAAATTTTGGAGCTCTAATTGATGGTTTAGCTGCTAATTTCAGTTACAAATGCGTGCTTATCAATTAATGTGTTTAAATAATTACTACTACTATTTATGAGCTAGCAACATTTACATGCTCACATTGATGCTTCATTTATCCTTTTCGGTTACATGTAGGTATGAATTTGTGGAACAAATCTAATTATAATCATTGTTGGTAATTAATTCTAGTTTTTTTACTGATACTTTTATTTATTTTTTTTAAAGTCTTGTAGTTGTTCGTGTGCTTTATAGGAAGCATGGGAGGTGTCTTTATTATTGTACTCGTTGACATTTGTGTATGCTTAGTTGTTTTATAGATGCCTTGTACAATGGGTATGTTGTGATGATTTATTTAGTAATATAAATTGATACTACATGTTTATATCTTTGCATCATGGTGCAGTTTATGTAAACTTTACACCTTTATTTATATACTTGTGAATGTATGTTAAAAGTAACATTTTCATATATGTTGATTGAGTGGAGGTTTAATGTAATGACCAGGTTGGTATTGCTGTTTCCCAAGATTGATGTGGACCCAGCCGATGGGTTTGTGACTGAGAATGAATTGACTGAGTGGAACGTACGGCAGGCTGCTAGGGAAGTCTTGCACAGGACTCAGAGGGAGATGGAGATTCATGATAAAAACCATGATGGGTTAATTTCATATGCAGAGTATGAACCTCCCAGTTGGGTGAAGAATGGTTAGTGGTTTCTACAATTATGTTACTAAATTTTAATTCTTGTTATGAAACTAATCCTTAGTGCTTTTACATTTTTGTTATGTGATTTTGGTTTGTTTTTGTGACTAAATTATTATTTGCCTTGAGGTGTTTGATGAATGGATTTTATACACTTTGGATTATGGAAACTAGCTGCTTCATATTGTGTAATACCCAACCCAAATAACATTTGGGCTAGTGTGTTAACAAAGCTGAATAATATTGCATGAAAGTTCAATAATAATAAATGGAATTTCTTATCACAAAGCCCAGCCCAATTATATATTTTATTATATGAAATTGATTACTTTGGAGGCTGAAATTTTGGGATTTACAAAATGAATTTCCAGCTTGGAGGCTGTAATTTCATCTAACCTGAACAAATTTTAAACATTTAAAATTTGTTGATACTACTTTGAATCTTCAAGACAACAAATTTACAGCATATGAAATGTTGTTCGCTGCCCTAGAAATTTTGTAGGGTAGTTTTGAAAGATCTATTGGTAGATATCAAATGCTTGGTTGCTGGCTTTGACAGGTGTTGGTTGCTTTTGAACACCTGTTGTCTGGATTTGAAAGTATTGGCAGACAATGAAAATTTATTGGTTGGCTTTGAAAATTGTTGGTTGCCCTTGAACGCTTGTTGGCTGGCTATGAAAGATCCTGGCAGACCTTGTACACTTGTTGGCTGGCTTTGAAAGTTATTGGCAGACATTGAACACTTGTTAGTTGGCTTTGAAAGATGTTGGCAGACCTTGAAAATTTATAATTGGCTTTGAATTGTCAGCCATTAGGAACGTAGGCCAAGTTAGCAGCCATTTGTTTATGGTATGGAAATAAAAACAATAAGAGAGAATTCACTAACACATCTTTATGAATGGCTGGAAATCTTGAAAGATCAACTTAAGGGCTGAAAAATAAAAAACTAAAGTTGGATTTCTCCATTCAAGTTATGTTAACACTAGCTCAAATGTAATTGGGCTGGGATATTACATATTGTTTAAGAATTGATCTTTCTATTCCTTTTTGGAAATCCATGAAGACATCCTTTGAAATGATTTTCAAATTTTTTGAGAGATATAGTGACATTAGGCCAAAATAATGTAAACATCCATGATCGGTTCTTCCTGCCACGAGTGACAAGTCAGTATTTATTGTATTCTTTGTGATAAAGACTTTGGGTAAACCTTTATAACAAATCTAATCTATTTATGGATCTTATCTTGCTCTCAATCATGACCACTGTGGACTTGTAGTGTGGAATGTGGACATGGTAATTGATTTCTGTTTAATTGCCAGATGATAATCTTTAGAGATGTTAACTTATTTGTGTTTTCTTTTCAAGACAATACTTCTTTTGGTTTTGATATGGGCTGGTGGAAAGAGGAACATTTTAATGCATCAGATGCTGATGGGGATGGTTTATTGAATATAACCGAGTTCAATGAGTAAGTGCCAAATTCTAGAACTAGTTTCATTTGATCTAACCCCAGTGAAAGGGGTTATTATCTGTAGCTGCTATTGCTCCCCTTAATTTTTCTGCTTGGTTGTTTCCTAGCTTTTTGCACCCAGCTGACAGCAAAAACCCGAAGCTGCTTCAATGGTTGTGCAAGGAGGAAGTAAGGTAACCTGAGTTTTATTGCTTTTCCTATTTCACCAAGAAAATCATATTTATATCTGTCCTAATAAGAATGAACCAACTCATGATTAAATTATTTATTTGGAGTTCAAGAAATAAGAAAAACAGTTCCCAATTTCTGGGCATTTTATCCCATTTGCATTTGATCTTCCTTTTCTACTACTGCCTTTAAATTCCTATTAATTTGGCTTCTTCCTTTTCCTCTTTAGGGAAAGAGATACAGACAAAGATGGGAAGGTTAACTTCAATGAATTTTTTCATGGGCTATTTGACTTGGTAAGGAACTATGATGAAGAAGGTCATAACTCTTTTCATCCATCTGATCACTCAATGGAGACCCCGGCTAAACAGTTGTTTAGCCAGCTTGATAAAGATGGTGACAGGTACTTGTATGAACTTTTGATGTTTAGAAACTGTTGAGTTGAAAACTTAGTTGTTTCAATGGTTAAATAAATTTATGTTGCTCCTATTGACAGATTCCTGTCAGATGAAGAGCTACTACCAATCATTGGGAAAATTCATCCATCAGAGCAATACTATGCAAAACAGCAATCTAATTACATCATATCACAGGTATTTATGACACCAAGTAATTGAACATTACTACACATACCTGAATGTTGGAGTTCTCTTATGTTCCATTTTATTTTATTTTTTTGTGTTTGATAATTTGGATCACCATTTATTAGAAGTATTTTGCTGAAACCATGTATTGCATTCAGACCATGTTTAACTGTGCATTTGTACTTGGAATGTAATGTAATGCGAAAATGATGGGTTAGGAAGAGAATAATGTAATGGAGTGTCAGTGCTATATTTTGGTTTCATATAATGAAATTTAAATGCAATGCAATGAATGATTTCAATTCTATTGTTATTAATGAGAAGAAATTTTTAGTGGAAAATTAAAGTTTTGAACAAATAAAGCATAACAACTTTAGACTTAGTAAAAGAAAAGATGAATAATTATTAAAGCAATTATAATAAAACGGATGTTAGTACTCAATGTTGTCAAAGGCGCAAGGCACACTTTAGGCACTTTTATTACTAGAACACTTTTATTGCCTGAGGCACAAGTAGCAAAAAACGTGCTTGCTTGAATGAAGTGAGGAACAATATGCATATGTGTGTGCACGCTCGTGCGTGCGTGTGTGTAAGATAAGCTAAGTATATAAGTCTGATAATGAACTTCAAAGAATGGTCCTTTTTTATCCTACAAAACTTGCAAAATTTCCTTTTTCCTTAAAGAAATGAAGAGATTCGAGAAAAATTGGGGTAGGTCAAGTTGAGGAAAAGATGAGAGAGGGTCGTTTGAGATGGTTTGGACATGTGAAATACAGGCCTATCTATGCACAAATTAGGGGAAATAAGCTTATGGAATTGGAAGAGATAAAATTTTTAGAGATAGATCACAAAAGATGTGGATGCAAGTAATAAAAAAATAATATTAGTGTTAAAGAAGTAAATGAAAAATTTATTGGCACAAAAGAATTTAAAACTATGATTTAACATGATTTCTTTTTTTTTTTTTTTGGCCTTTTATACAGTTGATTTTAGAGTTATGAGATATAAGACTTAGTTTATTGTTGTTATTTTGCAAGATTTCTTTATGTTCCCAAGGTTGTAGTAGAGTACCCAAACATTGAATGGTCTCTTTTTTACCATTAAAGGGGCAGTTAATGAAAAAAAATTAAAAATTAAAAGAAATGAAAGAGAGCTTCAGTCAGGCGGGTATTTTTTTTGCACCTACCGCCTTACCAAAAAGCACACTGAGGTGTGCCTGATCTAATGCGCCTTGACCAAGAGGGTTGAAGATGCTTTTGTTGTCTGGCGTTGCACCTTAGCACCTAAGCACACCTTGATAACACTGCTAGTACTAGTTTGAGTCTTACTCATTTACCCTTTATTCCCTTTTCACTTCCCCTTGAGCTGTTAGGGACAGCCTAAGATACTCAAATATTGAATGGTCCCTTTTTTACTATTAAAGGTGCAGTTAATGAAAAAACTTAAAAGCAATGAAAGAGAACTTCAATCAGCTGGGCTTTTCTTTGCACCTACCGCCTTATAAAAAAGCACACTGAGGTACACTTGATCAAATGCGCCTCACCTAATTGGGTCCAAGGCACTTTTGTTGTCTGGCTCTGTGCCTTAGCACTTGGCTGCACGCCATGACAAAACTTTAAGTGCTAGTCAGAGTCATAATCATTGAGCCCTTTTCCCTTTCCTTTTAGCTTTTAGGGACAACCTAAGATAAGTGAAACGTTACATAAACTGAAAACATTAAATGCTTTGTGCTCAACGTTAGGCTATGTTTTAAAACTGGACAAAGGAACTAATACCTGCTGGAAAGAGACAGCTATTAGAAACAGAAATGCATTAATGCTTTCTTAAAATTTGCAATTTGAAAAGTATCATTCATTATAGGATGGAGTGAGTCTTGATAGTAAGACCGTGGTTTCATTGTTATTTTAGTAGATAATATATTATGGTTTTCTTAACCATAGCCAAGGAAATCTTATCTGGCATTGCTAGAAATATTTTTGTTTATCCTTTTGGCATTATAGAATCCCCTGGCTATGGTTGTAACGATTTTTTTTTGGCCAATGTTGTAACGATTCACTCTGCATGCATCAAATTACTATGACTTCCCTCAAGGAAAACTTTAAGGCAAGGTATATGATAAATACTCCCTCTTTGTTATCCATGCTCTTTTCCAAGTCTTAGAAATCTCATTACCTTATATTATGCTAATGTGTTAAGGTGATAACTTGGTTACTAGCACTATTGACTCATTCTTCTTCTTCTTGTTCTTATGTTTTATGATTGTATTCTGCTTATGTTATGGTCCTTGTATTAGATTAAATCTTCTTGCATAAGGAGATGATTTTCTTGCATGTCATAGTTGCTGCAACCCTTTTGACAAAAATGAAATGAAAGCTTTTGTTTTGACGTCAATCTCAACAAAGTCCAAGTTCATCAACCATGTGGTTGTTGCCTCTTGGCCTCTCCATAAGATGAATAAAGTCCAAGTTCAAATCCCTCTCTCCCTTGGGTACCAAAAGAAAAAAGGTCTGTTATTGAACATTTTGTTAATTTAATTGCAGGCAGATTCAAATAAAGATGGTCGCTTAAGCTTAGTCGAGATGATTGACAACCCATATGTATTTTATAGTGCCATCTTTAATGATGATGAGGATGAAGATGATTATGAATACCATGATGAGTTCCGCTAAATGCTAATTTCATGGTAGGCAAGAGGAGCAATCTGTAATATGTTTGCATATATTTTATATTATCTGTCTTTGCATAATGGATCTCTTTTTACTATAATTTTGCAGGACATAAAGGCAGCAATAGGATTCAAATTCTTTTCTAGCAAGAATTGTATGCTCTATAGAATCAGTGAAAAACTTTCTACAATTTCGTTTAAGGTTATGCTATCAACGTTTCTATCCAAGGTGAGTTCCTGTTCTCTATCGTCTGATTCTCCCACTTTTTTTGGGTTTTTATTCCATCTACTAGCTAGTTTACATTGCTATTAATGTTCATTGCAGATTATGGACCTTAGCTTGTTCTGCAGGCCGTTCCACGATTAGTAGATGGTCCTTGTAATATCATCTTTCTTACATACATTTATTAGAGAACACTTCATGATAGTTTGATGTTTCATGTTTTAAAGTTTGCAAGCCTTCCAAAAATTTGGTGATCTAGTTGGCATACGTGTAGTATGAATATTAATCTTAATTTATTGGTCATCAGGGGAAGTTGTTGGAATCAAGGGGCTTCTAATAAACTTTGGCCAAGGTTGTATTTTAATTTTTAAAGAGCTTCGGATTTGTCTGCCTGAACCCGTTCCAAATTGAAAATAGATACATCATGGGAAGTTTCAACCTTATAGTTTATTGTTTATTTTTGTCGTCAACATTTGACATTACAACAGAAACTTCAACTTGGTGAGACAAAATAATCAAAGAGAAGAGCCCCAGCCACCTCCACCAGGTGTTAAAATCTGAAGTATTTCCCCTGCCTTCACCTCCACTGTGTTTTTTCCTCCAAGATAGATTCTTCGTTTACCTTTTGTTATAAGATAGTTGGCTCCACGAGCCCCATTTGCCCCTCCTTTTAACCCTCTTGGTGCATGTACACGCCTCTCTGAAAGAATGCTGACCACAACCGGGCGCCTAAACTCTATTTCCCTCACAAGTCCATCACCACCTTTGTGAAGTCCTGCTCCCCCACTATTATCTCTCAGTCCAAACTTGTGCAAGAATACTGGGTATCTTTGCTCTAAAATTTCGGGATCTGTCATTCGAGTGTTTGTCATGTGGCACTGGACTCCACTTGTCCCATCCCAGCTAGGACCAGAACCACCGCCTCCTCCGATTGTTTCATAATAACCGAAAGTGTGGTCCCCAAAGGTAACATTATTCATACATCCCTGAGAACAAGCACAGGCCTGAAACGCAGTCAATACTACATCAGTTATTCTCTGAGATGTGAGAACATTGCCTCCCACTACAGCAGCTTTATCACTTGGAGAGAGGAATGAGTCTGCCGGTACATGGATTTTAACTGGAGCCAAACAACCTTGATTAAGAGGAATATCAACATTCACCAGACAACGGAGGCAGTATATGACTGCTGCGGTAGTGACTGCCACTGGAGCATTCCAGTTACCGTAAACTTCAGGGCTAGTTCCACTAAAATCAAAATCTACTTCCCCTTTGTTAGGGTCAATTGTAAGTTTCAAATGAATGACAGACCCATCATCCATGCAATCCTCTTCTTCTATCGTAAGGAAGTTTCTCTCATCCAGCCTAGTTGACTCTGAGGAAACTCTTGCAGCAACTGACTTCAGCATCTCTCTCACTGCTGCTTCTGCATTAAGCTGCACATAGGTCATGTAAGCCTGAACAGTTTCTAAACCATACTGCTCAATAAGTTCTTTGATCAGAGTGATTCCCCTCTGGTTAGCAGCCACTTGTGCTCTAAGATCTGATAGATTATCTTGAAGCCGGCGTGTTCCCGGGATTCTTTGAGCAGATTCATCAGCACCTGGAAACTTGAGTAGTTTGATTATTCCTTCTTCTTGGAAAATCCCCTTTTCCACAAGTTTAAATGCTTTTATCGCTGCCCCTTCTTCCCATATAGACTTGGAAAAAGGCGGCATGCTTCCAGGTGTAACACCCCCAATCTCTGCATGATGTCCTCTACTTGCTACAAAAAACACAAGTTTCCCATCATCAAAAACAGGTGTTATCACAGTTATATCAGGAAGATGGCTACCTCCAGCACAAGGATGATTGGTGACAAGAACATCTCCTTTGTCCAAATTGTCACCCCAGTATTCAAGCTGCCAGCGAACTGTACTGGACATAGCTCCAAGATGCACAGGAATATGAGGAGCATTGGCAACTAGTCTACCATCCGGACCAAAGAGAGCACAAGAGAAGTCTAGCCTTTCCTTGATATTTGTTGAGATAGAAGTCCGCTGGAGGGTTCGTCCCATCTGTTCAGCTATTCCCATAAATCTGTGATTGAAGATCGAAAGTTGTACAACATCTGCAACCTTTTCAGCAACTTTCACAGTGTTTACAATAGACTCAATTTCAATTTTAATATTACCATATTTTGTTATAATAGCTCTACATTTTGGTTCAATTATCACTGTACTACTCCCATTCATGATGATTGCAGGGCCAGGCATGACATGCCCATAGCCCAGATTCTCAAGCTTGAACAGTGGTGTATCATGCCATCCATTCCCAAAAAAGACCTTGTAGTGGCCTTCAATTTTAGGGGAACCAGAAGCAGGTTCCAGGGCCCATGGTTTCAATATATTAGCAACTCCTATTCCACGAACTCTGACATCACAGACAAGGATATTTCTGTTCTGTAGCTTAAATCCATACTCCTGCTGGAAAAGCTTCATAAATTCATCAGCATAGTTGCATCCAGATCCATCTTCAGAAATATGTCTCTTTACCATGATTGCTGTATCTGTACCTTCATACCTCAAGTTTAGATATGTCTCGGTCCTTATATTTTCCTCTCTGAACCCCTGCTCTAGCAGCTTCTGCTTTACCTCCTTCAACAATATAGCTTCTCGATGAGAGGCCTCCAGAACAGATTCAGGACCATAAACAGCAGCATAGGGCTCTTGTACCTCTTCAACAACATCTGCCAGTCCCATTCCATATGCACTTAAGATTCCACAAAACCGGTGAATAAGTACTTCTGTCATACCCAATGACCTAGCTATGGCACAGGCATGCTGTGGCCCAGCACCTCCAAAGCAAGCAAGTGAATGGTTCCTCGTTTCATGGCCCTTCATCTCAGTTAACTGCCGTATAGGACGGCACATTGTCTCATTGGCAACATTCACAAACCCCAGTGCAATTTCCTCCACTGTCATGTCCTTTGCAGATGAATCTTGGCTCTTTCTATAAGAATTTATTTGCTCTGCAAGCTTCTTGAATTCTTCCTTAGTTGCTTTGACATCTAAGGGCCGATCTTCCTTTGGGCCAAAGATGGCTGGGAAATAATCAGGAATAACATACCCAAGAATCAGGTTTGCATCAGTGACTGCCAATTCTCCTCCTTTACGGTAGCACACGGGACCAGGATGAGCCCCCACAGACTCTGGTCCAACCCGAAAAGCTCCAAATTGGAACTTTAACTTTGATCCACCACCAGCAGCAACAGTGTTTATGTCAAGCTGAGGCGCTTGTATTATAGCACCAGCAATTTTTGTTTCTAGGACTTGTTCATAACTTCCAGCATAACGGCTTACATCTGTTGATGTGCCACCCATGTCAAATCCAATCAAAGGCTTCTCTGTTTCAAGCCCAAAAAGTGTCTGTGAGTAGCCTACAACTCCCCCAGCAGGGCCAGACAAAACAGCCTTGTGCCCTGAAAATCTACTTTCCGGTGCAAGCCCTCCATCTGACTGCATAAACAAAACATTCACCTTCCCAAGGCCTTCATCAAATCTAGATATCAACCCTGATAAGTACTCTTTCACAACCGGGGTCAGATAAGCATCTACACTGGCTGTTAAACCCCGAGGAACAGCACGAACCATGGGAGTCAAAGCAGAAGACAAAGAAACATGTCTAAAACCCAAGTTCGTAGCCAACTTCTCCACAGCAATTTCATGATATGGATAAGTGTAGGAATGCATTAACACAACAGCCAAACAACTAATCCCTTTCTCCAACAAACCCTTCAATAAAGGCTTCAAAGCTTCTTCATCTAGACACTTGACAACCCTGACAAGCTCACCAGAAACTCCTTTAACAAAGGACTCGGAATTCTCCTTATTCCTCTTGTCCTCTTCAAGAACTAGTTCAATCCTCTCATCAACTTCAACAACTTCCTCATAAAGATTGGATGGTTTAGTTGCAGTAAGGTCAAAGATATGGGGACGAGACTGGTCACCAATTTGTAACAAATCCTTGAAACCTCGAGTAACACACAAAGCAATCCTTTCCCCTTTTCTTTCCAAAAGGGCATTGGTTGCCACAGTTGTTCCCATCCTTATCCACTCAATTTTATCAGTTGGGATTTTGACAGTTCGGGGAATTTTCTCTCCTGTATATTCCTCTAGAATTCTCCTGATTCCTTCAATCGGAGCATCGTCATAGTTTGATGGGTCAACAGATAAAAGTTTGAGAACCCGACCATCAGAGTGACCGGGAATCTCGGCATAAACATCAGTGAAAGTGCCCCCTCTGTCAATACAAAACCTCAGCTTCTCTTCACTGACACTCCTCATTTCCACTCAAAAACCCCCCACAGAAAACCTGAACCAGATGACCCAAGATTCACAAATTTTATAAAACCCACATAAACACAAAGATTTGGAATATAAATAAAACAACTAGTAATAAATAATAAGAATGATATGGGATGTAGGAGAAAGTTACCTGGTGGGATAGAAAAATGGAGATTTCTAGCGTTGAAAGAAACTAGGTGTTCGAGATTGATACGTCTAAGATTACCTGATGGTGATTGTTTTGATGAAAAATAGGAAGTCAAAGCGACCCACCGATTTTCCTTCCTACAAACACAGAATAATCCTTGGCAAAGTAATGGAAAGTTGGTAATCGATAGGCACCAAGTTGACTTCAAAGGTTTTTGTGGAAGTTGTTTGCTGTCTGCACTTAGCCCACTTCACTCACCAGATGCATACTTTAATGTTGGTGCTGGAGATTAAATTCTCACAATTTAACTTTCCAAATTACCCAAAAAAAAAAAAGTATACTACGTATTACTTTTTTATCTCTATGTATTGGGCTACATTTTTTATATGATTCTTGTTTTCTAAGTAGATAAATCTTGTATAGTATTTTTTTATGTTAAATTCATAAAATAAATTTTAAAAATATGCATAGCACAGGATTTCTTTATTAGAAGTGCTTGGTTCCATGGTTTACTTTTTTTTTTTTTTGCTTTTTATTTTTGTTTTCTAAAAATATCTGAAAAAAAAAGACAATGAAAAAGAAGTAGGTGAAAGGTTTTCGACATAAATAGCTAACAAAATTTATGTTTTGACATAAAAAATATAGTTAAAAAACTAACAGATTATAGTTTTTGCTTTTGATACATTGTTTTTGTATACAATCCAAATACCATGTTTATTAATTTAAAAAAGTGATTGATAATTTATTGAAAACTATATATTTTTTCAAAATATGATTGATAATAAATAAAAAAGTTAAATTAAAAAATTGTTTAGATTATGTTTTTTATGTAAAAATGTAATCTTTGAATCACAAAACCCGTATTTTTTTTATATAAAAAACATAATTTTTGACATAAAAAAGAATTAAGTTTTGGTAA